GTGACTTGGCACACCTAAATTTATTATCAAGTGGTAACTGTTTTTTGCAAAAACCCCCCTTTTAAACTATCTTTTTAGGCTCAAGTTGTCGCATTTTAAAAGTCCCATTTTAGGCCGGTTTCTTATTTTCTAAAATCAAAAACACATTTTTTCATCAAGCTTTTTTATATTTCAAAAAATAAGGCGCGACAATACTTACATATTTGGTTGTCTATAAGCTTTTCTATCTAAAATGATTGTATCATGACTTCTTTGAACTTAATGATTTAACATTTCTTCTTTTCCTAATTGTTTCTTCTTACTTTCTTTCTCTCCCTTTTCTAATCTAACAATTTCCTTCACCCATACTAATATTGACTTGTTCACGATAAAATTACAGACTTTGTTTTACTTATTCTTTTAACTATCAATAATTGATTAATCACAAGTTCTAACTTGTCTATATGTACATAAACAATCTAACTACTAGATTAAAAGTTCGTTATAACATAAATTTTATATTATCCTTTGCCTTAAAAAAATTCCTCAAAAAACCCAATATCATACTTAATTTTAACTATTTGATATAGGGTTTTTTAAGAGATAATATATGAATACTTAACATCTTTCATGTGTCCTTGATTTAATGGTTAAGATTAAGATCCTAAGATTTAAAGTTCTTGGTTCAAATCCCCTTATCCTGTCCCCTCTCCTCCACTTCTTAAATCTCACCCTTCTTTACTAGAAAAAATATGAAAAAATAAAAAAATAAAAAATAACATCCTTCATGTGCAACAACTACAATCAAAACATAGAGTTGACAAAAACAAGGAAGGGTAAAATATGGATTCGGCTACTATCTCATAAAGCGATGATATATTAACATGTCTGACCTAATTAGTGGTCTACATGTGTATTAGATTCATATCAAAATAGAGGCATGTATAGACTAACCCAATTAATGATCTACTTATGTACTAGGTTCGTATCAAAATAGAGGTCAAAAGTTGTAGCATCACAAAATTCTATTCATGATAAAGTCATACAACTAGGCCAAATATGAACTGAAATTAATCCTTAATTTTTACCTTCGTCTACTATCCTTCCTTGCAATAAAGTGCAAGGGTTATTTGTTCAACCATTGTTATTAAACCCGACCCGACCTAGTGATTCAACCAAATCGGGCTAGGTTGCTAATTGGATCGTTTGAGCAATAGAGTCGTTGACTTGTCAACGGATCGGAGGTTCAACTGGTCAATTCGGTAAACCAAACGATTTTGTAAGGAACCCGGGTTGTTGTGTTAAAAATTTTTAGAAGATGTTGAAGTGATGGTTCAAACATGGAACCTCACATATAGGAGTAAAGTACAATCACCACTGGACCAACAGCCCATTTGTTGGTTGGTCCTTCTTATATTATATATTAGACTTTTATTTTTATTTTATTTCTTCAAAACAAAATTTATTTGGAATCTTTTAATAAAATTTTATTATTCCCCAAATTCTATAAGTTATGAAATGGATTTAAAAAATAATATATTACACAATTCATTTTAAAGACAAATATCGTTATTAATAACCTTTTGCACTTAAAATTCATAAATAAACTAGATAATTACATTTAGATAAAATTTTATACTTGAAGTTCGATGGATTACTAATTAAATTTAGGTTTTGTTGATTCTTATAAGAATTAATGATTCTATAATAAAGACTAACTGAACAGTTACTGTGGCATAGTTTATTATAATTTCAACCATATAAAAATTATGAGACATAATATTTAGGGAAAATGACCTGTTTCATCCTTCACATTTCGCAAAAATATTCTTTTCGTTCCTCACTTTTAAAATGAAGCAAATTCGTCCCTGACATTTAAAAATTAAAGTTATTACATCTCTGAACCTAATTTTCAATCTGAATCAAACCATTCAATAACCCAGTAATAAATTTCAGAAATAGAATTGATAGATCACTCGGTCAATTTCATTATATTCACATGACATTTATTAAATCAAAAAAATAAAAATTATAACATAAAAGGCCATTCTTTGTCTTGGAATAGTAGAATTTTTTTTTGGTAAATCTTTTCATAGACCATTAGTATATCTGCTTGCAAATCTAGATATGTATCATAAATATAAAATTTGATGTTTAAATTTAAATTGAAATGATATGGTGGTATATAAAACCGTCAGTGTATATAATGATAATATAGGAAAGATTAATCTTTCTTTTTTATATTATAATTTTTTATTTTTTATTTTTGGGTTCATTAAATTTTACATGAATATCAAGTTGAGTTAACCAAGTGATCTACCAATTACACCCCCAAAATTTGTAATCAGGTTGATTGGTGGTTTGATTCAGATTGAAATTTGGGTTCAGGGATGTAAGAGCTTTAGTTTTTAAATGTCAAGGACGAAATTGCTTCGTTTTAAAAGTGAGAGACGAAAAGAATATTTTTGTGAAATGTGAAGGATGAAACCGATCATTTTCCCTAATATTTAAGTATATTTAGTGACCCACCGGTTGGACCACTCACTCACTGGTTGAACCAATAACCCAATGACCTACCTCTTTCACTGAATTCCTCCTCGGGTTAGGTTTAATAACTATGTGCCCAACAATCGAAGAACAAAGAGAGAATATTAGAAACCTCCCCTAAAATTTCTCTTAATATCATTTAGAATCCCTAAGGTTTTAAAATATCAATTACCTTCCTTACTTTTGTTATAGGGATAATATCAGAAACCTCCCTTGAGATTTCTCTTAATGTCACATGGCACCTCTAAGATTTTAAAAATATCACTCACCTCCCTTACTTTTGTTGTTTGTGTAACAAAAGTTTTAAAAACCCTAAATTACCCTTCTACTTGCTCAATAAAAATGCTCCTAGATCACTTAGTTTATTTCAAGAAAACCATCATTTAAAAAATAATTTCTAGTAGTACTACCACATCATAATACTATAGTCCATAAAAATATATATTTGAAAAATAAAAAAGATATTTGCAAAGAAATACAGTTGACTAATTTAACTCTATATGCTCAAAACTGATTTCTTATGAACTTTATCTTTTTTTTCCAACTTTTTCTCAACTCGTGCTCAAACCTTTAAATTGTACTAATCATTATAAAAACACAACTCAAAATAAGCAAATAAATCATACCCCACTCTATCACAATTATAAAAAGTAAAAGATAACAAAATTCAATTTACTATAATATACAAAAAGAAATTACATAGTCATCCAAAAAATGAGTAAGAGAGAATATTGGAGAAAAGGGAAAGAAAAGAAAGTGACTTTTGTTTCCTTTTTTAATTTTTAGTTCTATTTATTTGATATGTAAAATATGTTTCAAATGAGGGTTAATATAGTCTTTTTGCAATTATTAGGGGAGGTAAGTAATATTTTTGCAATCTTAAGGGTGCCAGGTGTTCTTTGGAGAAATCTCAAGGAAGGTATATGATATTATCCCTTTGTTATATGCATAACAGAATTAAAGAAAAACCTTAAACTACCCTTTTGCTTATTTGTTAAATAAAAATACCATAAAATCATTTTATTTACTCCAAAAAAATCACCACCTTAAAAACAATCTCTAGTTGTACCACCACATCTAGAGATGGCAATTGAGCGGGGATAGATGGGACTTAATTAGGATTATAAAATATGGGTTATATTGAAACAGTCTCATATTGGTCATGGGAGGGGCCAAAATGGGTTAGACCCACTCTAATATTGCTCAAATACTCTATAAATCCCATTTTATTTTATTAAAACTATTTTTTCCTAATCAAATATCACAATATTGCTCTGTTTAATAACATTTAGTTAGTTGGTTTAGCTTTGTAAAAGTTATACATTTCTCTTTATATATACATATACATACATACATACATATATACATATACATATACATATATATTGTGCGATAATTTTTCAAGCTAAATAAAATTTACTAGATATAAAATTCACAAAGGACCAATTCTAATGCAAATAAAAATACATAGATAAGAACTAATTTAGTACTTTACACCAATAAACAACCTTTCTAGCTTTAAAACATGGAAAGCTTCACAAAACGACTAAGAACAAAAAGTGAATCAAATCCAACCATACTCCCACCTTTCGACACTACTTTATTTTTGTTGTGTTTGCCCTACACTTCTCTTCCTACTTTCTCAACTCTTGAGTCTCATCTTGTCTATTCCAAACCCATCACACCCCACCCTCCAACAACAATGCCTAGAAGTAAGAATACTACTACCACGTCATTCACTCTTTGTGTTCTTAAAAAATCCAAACATTTATATTTACTACTTATTAGGATTGCTACATAATCAATAATATTACTAGTCTTCTACTACTCTATTGGAGCATCCATTCCACCACTACCACCACTATTCGCTTTCTATATCTACTGATTAAACACACACAGACACACACTCACTAGTACAGTAGTAGTAATACTTGTGTATTTGCTTCTACTGCCAAATACACACACAAACAACAGTGCACTACTGCTACTACTACTAGATGCACATACTATATGACTGTTTTGGGGAATTTGGTGGTTTTCGACTTTTAGGCAAATTAATGTTCTTAGATTTTGGTTGAAAAGAAAGACTCATGGGCATTCCAAATAGATCCCAATTAGACCCATATTTTAGATGGGTATTAATGGATATGCTTCTAATTAGGTCCAATCCCATAACTTACATACCCATCCCGTACAAATTAAATTTAGGTATGGGATCCCATTAGGTCTTGGTGTGACGCCCCCACTTCTCCCAAGGGCGAACCCAAGGGTATCCGCGGAACGCCTGCCCAATTCTCGTCAGGACTCGATACAAGTCAAATTTAAACTTAAAGGTACACAACCAATTATAGAATTCAAATTAAGGAAAATCTCTTCCTTAATTAAACTTCGAAATCTTACATTACAAGTTATCAAAATTACCTCAATCTTCAAACTTAAATACAATCCAAAAAATATCTACTACAGTCATCTGCCATAATACAACTTAAAATCTCCAAGAGAAAACAACTTAGTACTATTTGCGAGTACTCTCGGTCTTGAACCCTGTTAAGAAAAACAAAAGCATGGAATGAGTTAAACAGCCCAGTGAGGTTCCAAAACTTCTAAACAGTTCTAATAATCAAGTAAATTGAGCATAACACATGTACGGTTCAAGATGTCACATTGGCACATTAAAATGAGACATTTATCATTTTACAGAAATAAACACACATTAAAAGGATACGGTGTTCACGTGGAACTGTTTTGGTCAGCTGTACCTTATAACCCCAATAATTTCCCCCGGTTGTCTGGCCATCACCTTATTCCTCCAGTGGTAATATTCGAGTATACCGAAACGGCGGCCCAGGGTTCCAACTTAACCGACCGAGCCCAATCCTGGCTCGAGCAGGTTAGTAACCAAGGGCATGGCCCAGTTCAGTTTAGAGCTTACAACATGCGCAAGTAATCAAGTAAATCAGTAAACGGTAGAAATTCACGGTCAAACGGTAGAAATTTGTCATTTTAGTAGGTCGAGTGAGATAAAGTACACACTCGCCTTAAAACGGTGAAATTCATAGAAGCAATTATAAGTAGCACTTAACACTTAAACACATAAGGAACACTCACCAAATCAAAAGTGTAAAGCAAGAGCGAGGCAAGATCAAACGAATTCCTCGGGATCCTCTTGATCACCTGAGACATGTACAATTACAATTCACTTAGGTATTTAGCCAAGGTTTAGTAGTATTCCTGCTACTCTCACTTAAGAGATAACGCGTGCAAATCGAATGCAAATATCACTAACTTAATCCACGAGGGTAGCATTTGAAAATACCCAAGAATACATTGATCCAAGTCAAGTCATGTCCAGGATTCTCCAAGTTGAAGATTAAACAGATCTCTAAGTTTTGACACGAAAACCGAGGAAGATGGATATATTTACTTGGAAGCTTGGCCAAAGCATTCCGGGCATTACTAATTAAGTTCACAAGAAACCTTTCAAATCAGTCTTTTAAAATACTTGTATAATTGCCAACTCTAGTACAATTATCAAGGCCATAAGAATAGGGTTGAAGTCCCTAATTTAAGTACGAAGAGAAGTACCATTAATCAAGAGAGTTATATGACCAAGTAAATGTATTAAGAGAGGTTTAACCTTCGGAGACCAAGATTTGAAATGAAAGTTCAAAGTTCCAAGAGACCTTGTATTAAACCATGAAAACAAATTTAAAACAATCCAACAATCACAAAGGAAGGTGGAAAGTTCTTAAAGGAGTAATTTGGTTGAAACAGAAATTTTCCAGTTTAGAGTGACATTATTTTGAAAAATCGTATCTCAAGTTTCGTAAGTCCAAAAATGGAAAACTTTATACCGTTGAAAACTAAATTCAGAGTACTAAAAGTTCTCAGAAGACACTTTTCCACGATTCTAACTAGAAAGCATTCAAAATTTAGCTCAAAGTTTCAGTTCCAAGAAGACAGGTTTGAACCAGTCTTGGTTTTTCAGCAAATTTTGGAAATTCGGCATAATTCACAGAAAGTGAATCAGCCCTTGAAATTGATAACACAACAAGAGTTCTAAACAAGGTTTCAAACACAACAAATGAAACTAAATTCAGCGTTTTGAGTGTCGAGATAAATCAGTTCAAAGTTGGTTGCGTTTTGCAAACTGTTCAGTCATTTTCCAGATTTGAAAAGCTATCTTTGAAGTATCATTTAGCCATCGAAATGGCATTGAAAATATACCAAATTTGGTACACTAAATCTTCCATATGTGAAATGTATATCTACCAAATTTCACGTAAAAACTCACGTGGGAAGACAGTTAACAAAATAGTCAAAGTTCGGGAAAATTTCAAAGCAAATCTGCCGTCCGTGGTTCTCTTTCCTTTTCAAACGTTTTGTCCCACACAATCAACCCCAACTAGCTCAAATGTTGAAACTAAGGTTCCATAAACATCCAATAAGCAATTTAGAGGTAATTGACATCAAATTTTTCGAAACAAAACATTCCAAAACAAGTTTGACCATTCGGCCAGCAAGAGGGAAGAAACTTTCCAGTTTTCCAGCTTTATCGTACTTTCAAAATCAGGCCATATCTCACTCAATACAAGTTAAAATTACTAATTATTGGTGGCGTTGGAATCTAGGTTCCGAAAGCTACATTTTATCAGAAGAAATCATTTCCAAAATCAGTTCACAAGTAGTTCAAATTCAAGCCACAAGTTACAGCTTCTCATTTCCATTTGAATGAACAGGCTGAACAGACCAGCTGACTTTATCAGTTCATTGCAGTTCACACAAAACGAACTAGACAGTGATTTACACCGTTTTAAAGCTAAAGAATGTCTAGTTTCAAATGCCTCAAACGGCACTCGATTTCGACTTTTGTACAAAGAGTTATGTTCAATCAAAGATACACTATTCAGGCCTTCGGATGACCATTTCTAGATTTCTTGCAGTTTCGAAAATTCTAGTTTTAATCAACCAAATGACATGATTTTCGGAAGGCATTTTGCACATACAATATACCACATATATACATCAGTTTCACAGTCATTTGAGCATCAAAAATTTGAAATATAGGCAAGGCAATAACAGGACAGATTCAGCCAGCTTACTTCCTCTCACGGTTTTCTCTCTTTCTTTTTCCTCTTCTAGTTTCTTCTAGTAAAACTCATCACAAACACACTAACACACACATAAACATCATGGCAGCCCTTATATAACCAAGGTGGGAGTTCATAGAGCCCACTTCATCCAACCAACTCCAAGCAACAACAACAATAAGGAAGCTACAAGCTTCAAAACCAAGAAATGAAACAAGAAAGTAAAAGCTTTGGTGGAGATGTTTATACCTTCAGAACTCAAGATGAAACTCTATATTTTTGTTGTGAGAAACTCGTTAAAACAACCCTTAACCAGCCGGCCCTCTCTTCCCTTCAAGTTAGAGTGGTACTCCAAGTTGTGGGTGATTTGGTGGAGGTTTGGTGAGTGATTTGAAGCTAACAATGGAGTTTTTTCTTCTTCCTTTTCTTGTCTCTTGGTCTGGCCAAAAATTGAGGGAGTGAGGAGACAGAGATGAGGGTTTTTGTGTGATGGAAACTTGGAGAGAAAGAATGAAATAGTAGCCATAAGTGTTGGGTAAAAAGTCAACTCTTAATAGTGCCTAAATGGGGTTTTGTACTACCACTTTCTCTCGGGTTTGATACACTTGTGCACTAAACCTCCAATGTAACTCCTTTAATATGGTAATTATTATTCACCCTTAGTAGTTTAGGATTAATTCCTCAAATCTTCAATTAGTCGTACTGGCGCGACTTTCGGGAAATTATTGATGCGCGTGGTAAAAGCTTAATTTTTTTAACTCACTCACATCTAATCCATCAATTAACTTTTTTTAGTCTATTCTTAATCATCTTTAGTTCTCCAAAACTAATGTACTTTCGGATCGAATTTATCTCGAAAAATGTGTATTCGCTATTTCTCGTTAAACGAGCCGTTGAAAAATTAATTTTGCTAACGGAACGTTTTAAAAATATAAAAGGGACATTTTTGCATAGAAATAGACTTAAAACGGGTGAAATAAATTATTTAGGGTAAACGGGTGAACAAATAATTAAATAAACCAGTAAAATAAAATAAAAATAAGAAAATTTTTCGGGTCCTCACACTTGGGACTTATTGCCACCACTAACTACATCACAGAACTATAGTCCATAAAAATATAAAATAAAAAGATATTTGCAAAGAAATATATTAGCACCAATTCAACTTTATATACTTAAAACAAATTTCTTATGAACCATATTTTTTTGCCCAACCTTTTCTCAACCTCTGGCCTAAACCTTTAAATTGTACTAAATCATTATAAAAGTCAACTCAAATTAAATAAAGAAATCATACCGCATCTTATTAGAATCACAAAAAGAAAAAGATAAACAAAATTTAATTTTTTTATTATAATTTGCAAATAAAAAATTACATAGTCATCCAAAAAAATGAGTAAAAGGGAATGCTGAAGAAAGAAAAAAGAAAAGAAAGTGATTTTTGTTTCTTTTTCTTTAATGTTATGAACTCTATTTATTTGATATGTGAATTATGTACCAAATGAGGATTAATATAATCATTTTGCAATTATTAGGGGAGGTAAGTAGTATTTTTAAAATCTCAGGAGCGCTAAGTGATATTAAGAAAAACCTCAGGGGGGCTTCTGATATTTGTCCCAAGAATAAAAGCAAATAAAACAAGAAATGCAACTGAATTCAAATTTCCCGACCACCTGCCAGGCCGCCCCAACTGCCCCAACGGCCAACGCTTCCCAAAAACCTTATAGTTTTTCCCAGAATTTGCGATTCCTGAACTCTCCTCCATTCGTTTTCGCTCACAAAACTTAGTTCAAGCGTTGGTGTTCAAATTTGTAACCCACTTTTGCACTTTAGCAATTTCTGTGAGCAATTGTTCTTCTAGTCATTTGTCTGCATGCCACATGTTTGTTAAAATGCCCAAGCGATAGACCATTGCCAAAAAGGAAAAACGATTTAAGTCCCTCCACATCTGATTGCAGGATTAAATGTTTCGTAAAGAGGCCCAAGAATTTTTTAATCCTTATCATGGGATGATGGTAAAATATTGCAATGGGTGCTTCAAACTGTACTCGAGTGAGAGTGGCTTTACAGAGCTACCTAGAAAACTGAAGAAATCTGAGCGAAAACCATTGGTGACGAATGTTAATGAACTTAAGCAAAGAGCCAGGTTGGAAAAGCAACAAAGGAGGCTTGTCCAAGAGGTTACTCTTAATGCTCCTGAAAATGGTTTATTGGTTAAATCACTAGTTCCAGTCGCTCATCATGTTTTATCTGCTAAAGCTGAATTATTGGCTTGTGCTAGGAGAGTTGCTGATAGTATTCCTATTTATTTCTGCAGGTAAATCAATAACAGGATTTCCTCAATAATTTTGACTTAGTATTTTGTTCTTGAGAGCTGCATTGGTCATTTTAATGTGAACAATCGGTTTTGCTTTGTGGTACTCTTAGAAGGATATATATGTCATAATGCTAATGGTGTCTCATTCCTAAATTGCAATAATTGAATTATGTAGAGATTAAGAGTTTGCTTCCCTGTTTTTATTTGAAACTGAATGCAAAAAGTAGAACATTGGTTTGCACAAAAGCAAAAAGGGAAGAAGCTAAGCCTTTTGTGTCAATTTGGTCAGCAAAGTTGGTGTATAATAACATTCTGTTGGTTAAGTTGACTAAAAAAGAATCAAAATATTTGTGACGTCTGAAATAATGGCTATGAGAATAATGATCTGGACCACATAAATTTTCCTTTATCACCAGGTAGTTTTTGAGATAGGATCCAGTGCAAGTGGAGTATTTTTGGAAAATTTAGACATAGTGATCAAAAGAAGGCTACATGAATTGGAATATCAAATTATAGTGTAAATGAGAAGCTGAATAGGAGTGTAGTACTCAGTGATTATATAATTCAGCAATTTTAGAGTGCTTGACCAATGAGGAATTGCTTTTTGCATACCACGTATTGAATATAAGATTTCTTCTGTTTCTGAGTCATTTCTATCATCACCGCTTTCAAACAAATGTATGTGAGAATCTGCAATAGTTTGCTCCTGTCTAGTGTCTAGCATCATTTGGTAATCTCTTAATGCATTCAAAATTGTGATCAAGACTAGTAGAAAGTCTTTTTTCTTTTCCTTTTTAGCAGATTACTAGAAAGTTGGATGAAAGTATTGATCATTGGATAAAAGAATTCTTTCTGGAATGACAGCCGGTAGGAAATTGAGTAACTATATGCTGATAATTTGCACGACTCTGTTCTTGCAGCTTATGTGGCGAAGTTCATGTAGGTGGTACTCCTCATATGATTAGAACATGTGATGTAAGTGGCAGTCAGAGCACTAAAGAGCACACTTGGGAGAGAGGGAAAGTCGAACATCTACTACCTGTAGTAGACTCTTTTCATTTATATGACAGATCGGGGAGAGCTGTTTCTCATGATGAGCGGCTTCAAGTGGATCGGATTCCTGCAATAGTTGAGTTATGTATTCAGGCTGGAGTGGACATCCCCGAGCACCCGACAAGGAGGAGAGAGTATCCTATTTATCGTGTTGCTGGCAGGTTGATTGATTTCGAAAAGAGATTCCCAAAGGATTATTCATCTGGAAAGGACATCAGTGCCTTTGGATTTTGGGATACTCCATTAAAGTCTGGTGGAGTTGAGAAAAATTTGGATTTGCTTTCTGATGATATAAAAGGTTTGAGTTTTATTGTGTTTTCCCTTCCAGGGTGCTTCCTCTAGTGTTTATGTACAGAAAAAAATCCTTATGCCATTTATGATATAGAGATAAGTACACTAAGTATTCCAGATTCTCTTGTTGGAAAAGTTGTAATGAATCGGTTGATTTCCCTGTCTTGATGAAATTTATAAATTGAGTTCCAGCAATACTGTTTCCACTTTTATTGCAGAAGTTTAATAGCTATCAGGTCCGCTGCATGCATGCTGAATTTAAAGCAGAAACATTTTGCAGGTTTTGCAGAGAAAGGCATGGAAGCATGGGAGAAAATGCGTTCAGGAGCCATAAAATTAATGCAGAAATATGCGGTTCAAACATGCGGATATTGTTCTGAGGTCCAAGTTGGGCCCAATGGTCATAGAGTGAGGCAATGTCAGGCGTTCAAGCATCAGATGCGTGATGGACAACATGCTTGGCAAGAGTCAACAATTGATGATGTTGTTCCTCCAGTATATGTTTGGCATGTTCGAGATCATCATCCTGTTGTACTTGTAGATGCTTTGAAGAGGTACTATGGAAAGTTGCCTGCTGTGGTGGAATTGTTTGCACAAGCTGGAGCAAAAGTTGGAGAGAGTTACAATGGTGTAATGAGGGAAGATGTTGTGGTTCCCGAATTAGATGAGGAAAAGCTGGTTGTCTGAGGCTGTAAAGCAGTGCTTAAAAACTGGTAGTTTCATACATCCCTGAACCATCTGCTAGTGAGATTGGATATTCTCATATCACAACCCTTTCTTGAACACCTAATCAACTGTTCAGCGTTAGCCTAGAGTCTCTTCACTGATGCATTGCAAAGGAAAAGAGAAAGGAATAGGTGGAAAGTAATTGACATAGAGTATGAATTTTTCAGTGCGGCATTACTAAGCTTTCAAAAGGTGGATATAAATTGTTTGTTCCTGTTATGCCTGTCTCTTGGAATTGCAGGAATTAGGTAATTCTGGCATTCTCAGCTTTGAATTTTAAGTCAAATTTCTCTTTGGAGTAATTGTTGGATGCAGCTTTGCCGCTGGTTCGAAGTCTATGAAAGCAATATTGATGAATAATGGAAAACCATTTTGAAGCTGTTATTTGAAGGTGGGTTTTCTGCAGCTTCTAGCAAGGTCCACACATTGTCCTTAAAGATTCATTTAAGCTTTGGTAAAACAGGATGTAACTTTTAGGCATTTGTCAATGCATATCTGGTTCGTGATAGCTGTCTGCTGGTTAGGGTATTTGTTTATGCTGTCTAATCTTGTCTGTTGTTAATGCTCCAATGACTTGCTAATCTTCAGTTAGTTGATAATAACTTGCAATGAATCTTGCAACTATTTGTCATATTGCTTATCAAGTAGCATATCGCCATATCCTCTATAGCTATATGAATTTCCTATTTCTGTGAATACTGGTGAAGAGATGGAAACTGCCAAAGTTGGAAACCAATTGTTTAATTGGTAAACTTCAATGCAGCAGTTAAATGCGAAATGATTGGGTACGCTTGAGACAAAAGCACTCTAGTGAGCGGTCACTGACATTGGGAGATCTTTTAGCTGGTGATTTTTCATTTTATCTCTGGATCAAGAATATCTAAACCCTCTAATTATCCTTACCAGGTCGTTTA